ATATGTAAATTGCATTTATTACCATTCGTGTTGCTTTGCAGTGCAAAGTTGATCCTCCAAGAAATGCTTGTGTTGTGGTTTCTATTGTTTTTCGTTTTAGATATCTTACACGAAACCAAAAACAGACTACATGTTAAATGTAAATGATTTAGTTTTCTTATAGCACGCATTGAAAATAATATTTTCTAAGTGGTAACAAGCTTACAACTTTGAATCTACATAGAAATATGAAGCATTTTAAAAAATTATTTCATATGTCCATAAATGGAAGATATGTATTTATGTAATAGAACAGCAAAATTTAGATTATTCACAGACCCTACGGGTACTATGCAATGCGAAAAGCTTTACCAAAAGAGCTACACGATGCACACAACCAATAACACTTTATTTTACTGTCATATTATAATTTGTTTGCTCCTATTATTTAAACGAAAGGTGAAGGCAAACACTTCTTTAAATATCTGGCCTATGTACAAGTATCTGTTCTGCATATTTTTCTTGTATTACAATTAATATTCAAAAATACTTAACATTGCTATCTGCTCGGCTTGAAATGCCTTAATTGGTACACATTAGATTGAAAGTTTTACTCACTCCCTTTCTAGTCGCTTTTACCAGGGCTTCGAACAAAATGTTTCTCGAACATACATATGTACATCTTATAGTACTATAGCATCTTTCAAATGGCTTAATGTAAATATTTATATTTTCAAAAATATATATATAGTATTTGGACCAATCAAATAGTACTACACGTATTCACTGCAGAACTTCATAGACGGTAATTGGAATTCAGATCAAATATTTGTCATATTATACTTTTTATCTACGTAATATTTATGTATCCCACAAAATGCCAATACCATATAACAAGAAACATAAAGATATTATTCAATGCACATAAATAATGAAAGACTTTCGAAACATGCATAGCTACAATATCAATCCGGACCAACTTTTCTGGGCTATTCTTATTAAATCCAAAAATCACAAACTAACACCACATGAAGTACCTACATTTATCAAAGGGATAATTAACAAAGTAAATTTGAAACTTTGATTCCCATCCGAAATCGTTTCACGCTTTAGCATCGTATTTCCCTTATTGGCTTAGTTAATACTCAGTTCCTTCAGTGTTCTTCTACTTAATGTAAATAAATGTGGAATTCGTCTTACGACCTTGTCGAATCGCATTATAAATAGTTAAAATCAACGAACATTAAGATAATTCCATGAATCATAAACTTAATTTCGACTGCATGTTGATGTGCTATCAAATTTTTGGTTAATCGATATTATGTGTTGATAATGTCCATTTCTTACTAATTTAATTTGTTTAAATGCGTGCATTATACCCATTTCAAACCAAAATGATCGATTATACCGAATTTTACTGTTTAAAACCTTTGCGGAATTTTGTCCTGCGTTTTTTTTATGTTTCAACCTTTTTTGTTACATAAAAGGTAATTTTTAATTTCAATCCCCCAAGCCCCCGTCAATATTGTAATTAAAATAAAAGCATCCGAGCTTCGGGTGAGGTTATGGATGCATTTTGATCTCTGCACTTATCTCCAAAACCCCTTTTTGTATGGAAACATACCACCCAAATAACCTCACCCACCAAATTATGAACAAAGAGAAAAAAATTTCAATAAACACAAAACCACGAAGATGCCACCCTCACTACAGTGATTGACGAGAGATGACAGCGAAGAGATGACTGGAGCTAGACTACGCCCTACCATGTGAAGGATCCTGGAACCTGGAGCAGTCAATATATTTTATTACAAAAATTGTAACGAAACTAATAAAATGTATTATGTGAGAATTGTAACTAACATTTTGTGTTGAGAAAGATTATTTAACAAGTAACAGAAAATACGTATGCTAAAGGTTTGTAGCACAAATTTCTAATCATTTGAGGATCAGCTATATCAGATATATTTTGCCGGACAAATAAAGACGAAATAGAGGTCGAAGGAGAAGCTGTCCTTACAAACAATCTATCGTTGGTGAAGTCATCGGAAATGCGGATAAAATCGTAACTTTAATTATGTTTCATGAAGATTAAATCGAAAGGCAAAAATTTGAAAATTATAAACCATCAGCAGCATCCAGAGCATATTTTACAACATATGAACTAAAAGTAAATCTAATAAAAAATCTCTTTTAAGAATCCTAGACAAAGAAACTTTACATTTCGTTTAGAGTTCAACCGAATAATAAAACACATTTGAAGTATATTTTTAATTAGTTTGTATTTGTATTCGTATTAGCTTAAAAAACAAACCCAAACAAGGTAAGAACATAGTACTCAAAACATTCAATTATTGACGAAAATTGCATTAAGTTTTTTTTCACACACATGAACTAAATCGACGGCATATTTGCATATCGTTTTCTGCTTGCTGCACTCGTTAAAATAGACAATTAAAATGATTTATAAAATCGCTTTGAATATAAAAATCACTTATATCTAATGCTTAGCGTTCACACTCAGGTGGGGCTGCCACGCCCCAGCTGGGGCTGCTCCTGGTCGCCCCCCCCCATACACACGTCGATCGACTGCAATAGCCATACACAAAACTGGATAAAAATTCAAGCGTTGCTTCAACTATTTACAAAAATATGCTGCATGTTATGTTTTTTTCGCCTTTGTTATGTTTTGCTTCGTTTTCTTTTTTATATTTAGCAGTTTTTAGAAACATTCGAATACATTTGTGGAGACCGTTTGGAACATTAATAACACGTTAAAGTTCTGACAATGACACAAAACAACTAAGGCTGGAGCTGGAATTGGATCTGGGTCTGGATCGTACATTGGGAAGTCGGGATGGTAAAGTGTTTCAGCTTAACAATTGCAAAATAAACCAGTAAAGCGCCAACCAGCTGGAATTCGTGTGCTGGCTGATGGAGACAGGAGGATGGGCGTTAAAACTGTACTTTGACTTGAAGGATTACTCAATGTTCCGCTTGATTTATGTGGTTTCTGTTTTTACTTGTTTAAAATGCATTCAATATTATTTAATATGCTCGTATTTACTTTTTAAAAGCTGACAACAAATTGAAATGCCTATTTAAAGAGAGGTACACTCAAAAAATATTCAAGAGTCCGCTGCTCGGGCTCAGCTGCTGCGCTGCTAACTACTGCCGTGCACTCCGGCCGATCATTGTACATTTTGTACATTACGATGTCTGATTTGTCTGGCCATCTCTATCTCTATAAGGAGTTGACTGGATGCTGCTGCCATTGCCGGTTCCGGTCATGATTATTTTTCTTCGTGTTCTCTAGTATTTTCCCACTTTGTGTCTGCTCTGCTGCTCGAGTTTACAATGTTATTTTCGTAATTTTATATAGATGTTTGTTGAATGTATACATAGTTCTTAGAAAGTAACTCTTATGTTCTGTACGCCCGCCCGCTGTGCCTGTCCTAGCGCCAGGGCTGGGTCGCTGTCGCTGTCGCTTTCTACCAAGTGTTTCTGATCTCTTGCCACAATCCTTTTAGCTAACTAGCATTTAGTTACATACATACATATGTATACATACTCGTACACCGCGTACGCCACCGTTGCTCAATTCTCAATTCGCATAACATTCGCTATTTACATGGAACTCAAAGTTACGCTTCGTAAATTTTGACTAGTTGCCTTGAAGGGTCTCTCCTCTCTTCTCCTCTCCTCTATCGCTCTGCTCTGCTTACGTTCTCTTCTTACTCGTTAATTGTTTACGCGTTTACTCGTTCGCTTAGGTTTCGGATATTGGGCAAATGCATGCGCTCGTGTACTGCTAATGGAAAAGAAAAAATGCTAGTTTTTGAAATCCTTTGGATACAGTTCATCATCATCATTAATTCTCCTCCACCACTCGTCCGCTTTAGTAGCTGTTGTTTCCATTACTGCTGCATGCATCTGTTCTGCTCTGCTCTGCTCTGTTCTGTTCTGTTCTTGTGCTTTCATAAGAGATTTACACAGTTGTTTATTCTAGACCTATATCACCGCTTAATTGTCTTAAACACTCTAATTATTTTAGCATCCCTAGCTGCTGATTCACTTGTCTGTCTTTGTTCTGTTTGGTAGAGTTGTCAGTTGTGTTTTTGTTTTGTTTTGTGTCTTACGAACTTAGTTGATTGATTATGAAAGTGGTGTGCCTCTACTTATCAAAGTTGCTCGAATTCCTCACAGTTCTTAAACGCCTATGTATGTACTCCTATGTACTCCCGATTATATGTATAGTACTATTATAATGAATCATACAATATCAATATATGCGTACTTTGCAAGGTATTAATTATGTTATGAAACCAATGCGATCCTATGCAAAACGTTATTCATCATTATATATACTCGTATGGTATGTATGTACGATTTTGCTTCATTTGTACATAAAAATATATTGTATATGTATGTGCATTTACATGCCTGCCTGCCTGTATGCCACTGCCACAACGGCAGCACAACACCTATCTCGAATGAGCCAACATCCCATCTCTTCTTGTTTTGTACATTTCGCGAAAATGGTTTTCGGTTTTCGCATTTCCTTTGAATGCATCTCATAATTCTTGTATATAGTTTAAAATGTTGCATTCGTCCTGTGATTTGTATGTATGTATGTATGTACTTTGTTGTAGGAAACATTTCGGAAATTATATATAAAAATATTTATGTGCCACAAAACAAACTACGAGATGGCTAAAAAAAAAACAGAACGAAGAAGCTTTTAGCTTGTATTCGTTTAGTTCTACTGTCTGATGTCATTTCTATGGTTTGTTTCGTGTTCTCCTTCTCTATGCTGTGTCTTTGCTCTGCTTAGTGGATAATCGTACAATAAATAAATAGCATTTGCTACATACATACTTGCATTAATAGTTACATATATGAACCTTGCGCTACTCTTAGTAATAGACGCGTTCTACTAGCCCTAATACAAATAGCGCTGATCTAAGGCTTTATTGCAAACCATTTTCAATTTTCATATTGTGGGTATGTGTGCCCCTTACTATATCGAATTCTTGTTTATTTTAAGCACTTAGAACTAAACAAAAGTGTGTGTTCATCAGTAAAGAAAAATAAAAACAATACATTATTTACAGCCAAACCAGTCTGGAGTCTGGGAGTGGTTCGATTACGCCTTACACATACTACATGAAATATACAATAAGTCTTAAATGTGTCTTGTATACATGTCGATCATAATGGGATTTGGTTTTGGGGTTTTAGTAAATGCATACACAGCGCTGTGGCCTGTAATGCTTATGTGCTTATTTAGAATTGTGGTGCAGTTTGTTGTTTGCCACCGCTTGCAACTCAGCTGCGCAGGTAGAGCCATTGGAGCGTGGCCATTGTCAGCAGCAGGAGCCAGTTGCCCAGCTGAGCATCACCTGCACTCGAGCCCGTTTCGCCGCATTTGCCTGTGGATAAGGAAAGCAGAGTTTTACTAAGGATGCCGCAGTCTATAGCGAATGTAGAACATACCAAAGACTGACAGATTGGCCACCAAATGGTGATCGGGTGGCTTCTGTGTGCCTCGGTAGCAGGCATCGCCTACAACCAGCTTGGCTGAGGTGCCCTCCGTTGGCCGATAGGTCAGACAGACGCCGTGCTTGCTGCCCTTGTGGCGTGCTATGATGAAGAACGTACTATTCTCGCTCCAGGAGCCGTGACAGGAGTACTCTGAAATGGCAAATCCTAAATAAGACCAAATCCGGACTTTCAACTCTATTTGCGCGTACCCTCTTCACCCTCCACACTGCACAGCGGACTAACGTCGATCGAGTTGGGTTTACTGCATCCTACCCAAAGCTGCCGTTGGGCATTGTAGTTAGGCACACAGCCCGGGACATCGCGCCGATTCCGCGTGGCCACAAATCCCACACTCGTGTCGTTACTATTCACGTTGCCCAGTACTAGCGCCTGCTGCTGCTGCTGCGGATCCTGGGGCGCACTGCGTCGACTGCGTACGGGAAGACCGCGAGTATTGGCATGCCATGAGCCACGCTCCATGTGTTCGGCATTCCGAAAGCTGAGCGTGCTGCGTCTGCAATCAAAAAATCGAGCTGTAAAACTGCCAGCAGCAGCAACCACGGAGTCAGCTTACCCTTTATGACCAAAAGTTCCCGTGTCTGCACTCTCGTGGTGATGATGTCCGTGTCCCAGGTGCGATTTGCCGTTGTGATTGCGCTTGTGGCGCGTGGCCAAATACGGCGGCCCGATGGCGCCGCGCAGGTTGTACAGTCCCTCCATTGGGCAAATCGCCGGTTCCGGATTGCTTGCTACAGGGAAAGATACAGAGGGCGTTGAATACGGCTGCAGTAGGCTTGCAGAGAGTGCATCTCTCTTACCCAGCAAGGTAATGTAGGCCATCTTATTAATATCAAAGTGATCCGGTGCACAGGCATCCTCCAGGCGAACGGCCGGCTTGCCCGTCTGTATTTCAATGACGTGCGTGTCCCGGCGGTAGAACATCATGCACATGAATCCTGATTGACTGTGTGGCGAAACGAGCAAACGGGGAACGGTGAACGGGGAACGGTGAACAGACATTGAAATTGCAGGAACGTGTTGGTTAGCCTCTTGGCAGTATTTTCAATTTGGGCCACTTACCACCCGGTCGTGTAATGCACCACGGCCATCATTTCGGTTGAGGTCTGTTTATTTATCTGCTCGCAGAGCGCACGTGTCTCCATATAGCCGTTGGGCTTAATAATGTGCACGGACCCATCACTGAAAAGAAACGTAAGCGTAAAACGGGAATGGAAATGGAAATGGAAACAGTTCAGAGGTCCGTTTGATTCGGTTTGGTTTGGGTGACAACTTGGCCGCAGGCCTTTGGCGGAACTCACTTGGGGTGATAATTGTAGACGGCATAGCCCATAAGTGCATGCCAGTGACGGGGACCCTTGAACCAGGCTGGGAAGTCACAGCGCTCCGCCACCGGCGGTTTTCGCAGGGACATGATGCGGGAGCCAACCTGCGCGGAGAGGGTTAGAGCAGAGGATGTGGCAGTGTGGCATTTGCAGGTAAGTGAAAATGGTTTGTGTCTGTGTCTGCGTCTGTGTTAGTGTTGGGGAAAATGCTTACCTCGGCACTGTCTAAGCCATTGCAAGTGGCGTCGCCGGATTGTGCCAGCTTATACTCGGCATCCTTTGAGCTGAGCATGCTGGGACCGCCTGCAAAGGGTTTTAAAGCTCAAACAAAGTTCATCCTGTTTGCCGGAAGGCCTTACCATTACCCATCAGCGCGGAGATTTTCTCATAGACAAAGCAGCGATATCGTTCCTCGTTCGAGATGGCATGATGGTGCGAGACCAGGCCAACCAAATAGCGTGAGTTGCCATCCTTCCAGGTCGCCAGACACGTCAGTTCCTCAACTGCAGTATCAGAAGCAGAAGCAGAAGCAGGCGGGCAATGGAACGGAACACGGAACACAGAACAGAGGGCAGAATGGAAGAATAGAAGAAAGAAAGGCAGGAAGGAAGGAAGGAAGGATGTTCATCTTCAGTTCCAGAAAGTAGCGATGAGTCATTGTCATGACCAGAAAGACTCACCTGTACTCTCGGTCCCGAGGACATCGGGACAGGCCTGGAAGCTCAGCAGGAGGCGACTCTCCTCCGTGCAGCTCTCAATGTTGGACACTGGCGACTTGCACTCCCCATGGCCCCGGTTGTATGTGAATATGAAGGGTCCTGCCGGCGACAAGGAGTAGGAAGAAAGACGACTCTTGAAATGACCCAGGCCCAGACCCAGACCCATTGGGATGTACATCGTTTGCTTCTGCAAGTACTCACCCTTGAGCGGACACTTGACCGGCTCGGCGCTCTCCCGGAAGAGGGAGTACAGCAGGGCATCGCCAGGTATTTGGTCGCAGAGATTCTGTAAAGTCTCACGGCCCTTGCAAAAGTCTGGGGGACATGATTATTTTAAAAGCACAAATAAAAATTCAATTAATGCAAATCGCAAATGATGTTGTCGTAGACACAGAACACACAAAGATAGATAGATAGATACAAATAGCGGTAGTAGTAGTAGTAGTAGTGGTAGTAGTAGTAGCAGTAGCAGTATTAGTATTAGCAGTAGAAAGTAGTAAAGGATTAGTGGGAGCAGAGTATGTAGTTGTAAATTGTAGTAAGTAATTGCAACACATTAAAGAAAGGACAGGGTTAAAGGAAATCAAATCTACAAAGGGCTAAGGAATTGTAAAAGATTTATTTTGAAATATTTTTATGTTTTTATTTCGTTTGTTGAGTGCCGCACTGGAAGATGGGAAGGCTGGGAATCCGTGGTGTTCCAGGGCCATCCATGGCCCAAGCATGCCATTTAAATTGCACAGAAATTTGTTTAATTAAGTGGCCGCCGAAGCTGATGGTCCGGGGAGAAGATTGCTCCAAATGAAGCCTTAAATCAGCAGAAATGTCGCAAGTGGCGAGAGTTACGAGAGTGACGAGAGAGTCGGGCATGTTGCGGTCATGGCCCCATACCCACACCCATCTCCACACACACACACACACCCTCCATTCCGATTCCCAACTCCAGCTTCAAGTGCGGCACACAGGAGGCAGTAGGCAGAAACAACAACAATTTCTGTGGAAATGTATAAAAAGCAGCGGTAAGTACAAGATACATAAGTATGTAAGTTCCAGAAAAACACAAACGAACCAAACAAAGTGGGGAACCAGTAAGGAAGAACAAACCAAACCAAACCAAACCAAAGCAAAGACTTGTGACGTTCACAGAAATAACTTAAAGACAAGAGTTTTTCATTTTCAGCACTTCCTCGAGCTGGGCTGTGGGACTGACTGCAGTTGCAGTTGCAGAGCCCCCAACTATTTTTTTTCTTTTTTTTTTTGTATGTATGTATTTGTAAATTCAACTGAAAGGCACAACACACGTTTAAAAATGAACCGAAAGCAAAAACACACACTTGGTTCGTCTTCTGGTGCTTCTGGCTCTCCTCCGGGCAGAAGTGAGACCAAAAGCATGGGGGAATTGGGGGGTTTTTAGGCAATAAATAACAGGTAACAGGTAACAGGTAGGTAAAGGTAGCAAAGGTAGTAAAATAATGTTAGGGCCTGGCAGGGCCCCCCATACATAAGGTATAAAGGTATAAGGTATTTGTTGCTAGAGCAAGCATAACATTTTGAATCAACTAAAAAATAATAACAAACATTTACTCATGATGAATAAATTGAGTAGTCGGGTTTCTGGGTTTTATGGCAAACGCGACACATATATATGTATATGTTTTTTTTTCTTTTGGTAAAGGGTCCTCTCTTTTTTTCTTTTCGCTTTTTTTTTGTTCATTCTTTTTTTTTATATATACTGGTAGGTAGTAGAGTTGTTGTAAAAGTAATTGTAACTAAAATCCGTTTCGAAACGGATATATAATGTACGATATATACATAGAACACATACAGGCAGGGTTCTCAACATTACAGAAAATCTTTACAGCTAAAAAGGCACACAACAAACAGTTTTTGTACTTGGCTTTTTGTTTTTTGTAGTATTAAATCGAACAGTTTCAGTTGAAAACTCAAATTAAACGAAAAACAAAAAAAAAAACAGGCACACGCAGAGCAAAAAAACCACAAACAGAAGAGTGAGAAACAAATTATGAAAAAGTACCAATTATGTATGTAGCATGTAGTGTGGTGTAAAAGCCAGGATACGCCAGGACTCTGTACTGTCCGTGTGTGTGTACGGGTGTACGGGTGTACGGGTGTACGGGTGTACGGGTAAGTGTGTGGCGTTTTTGAGTAATGATTGTAATTAAGTAGCAGCTACACTTTATGAGTTATACAAAGCATACCGAGTATCAGAGGAAACAAAGGTGTGTGGGACGGGGCGTTGTGTATCGTGGTATGTGTGTGTATGAGAGTACTACGGAGAAGCGTTTGTGGCATATATAATAGTATATCATGACAAGGCAAAAAACGACATCACAGACACGAAAAAAAAGCACAGAAAAGGAGAACAAATTAAACAAATTATATTACTTTGCAGTGGGTTTTTCTTTTCTTTTTTTGGTATTCTCTGGATGTGTACGGTCGGACCGATAGATAGCCGGGTACAGTACAGTACAGCCCCGAGCACAATCACACACACACACAACACTTAGACACTTAGAACGAACGGAATGAAAAATGAGAGACACACACAGCTAATACGAATACGAATACGAATACGAGTACAAGTACTATAGTACTATAGTACTATAGTAGTAGAAAGTAGAAGGAAGGAGCACACCGAAGGAAGGAACCAACGAACGAACGAACAAACGACACAATTGTACAATAACTTATGAGTAACCGAGAGAGCAGAAATTGTTGAGTTTCATGTTAAAATTACATTAATTAAAATTACACACATTTAACTAAATGAACGTAACGGAATGGGGGGAAGAATCGAAAGGAATACACCAAAAAAGAAAAATAAATAAAAATAAAAAAAGCAAACGAACAAAAACTAAAAGACACAAACACGGACACACAGAAAAGGAAAAACAACAACACAGAATCGGGAACGGATCGGAACCCATAGAGCAAATAGTAGTAGTACGAATAGTAGTAAGTAGTAGTAGTAGTAGGGTAGTAGTAAAGTGAAGTAGTAGTAGGTTGTTAGGTTAGGTAGAATGTAGTAAGAAGAAAGTACAATAAGTAATTGATAAATGAGACAATTATACTAGCGGTCACCGGGCAGCCCATCCCAACATTTCATCATCATATACAAAGATGTGTACAATATATATTTTTTGGTAAATATATATATAATTTCTTTTACTTTTATTTTCCATTGTGTTTTCTTTCTTTTTTTTCGGTTTTCTCATTTGGAGCACAAAATTTAGCTGAAATCCTTTCTTTTTGTTGATATCTTGATATTCACGAAATTGAATTAGAAAAACAAAGTGTGACAGAGAGTAAGTAAAAGTAATGAGCGCATTGCTTTCTATACAAAATGTGTCTCAAATTCGCTTTCATAGGCTCTACAAAAACAAATGAATTTTCCTGTTTTTATTTCAACCTTTTTTTTTTTTGTTTTTTTGATGCGAAAACAGAAAACAAAAGCGGGGAAATGGTGGCAGGATCTGGTGGATTGAGGTCTGGGTGGATGTTGGGGTGCAGTTGGGGGGTGGGGTGGGGTAGGGCGGACAACTGAAGGAAACTTAACAAACCGTTAAACGAAATTTGAAAGGCATTCTTCGAAATGGAATGGGCATTGGGGTTGTACAATACGATTTCCAAGAGCTGGCAGACTTGATCTGATTAGGAAAAGGAAATGCAAAGAATTATTCCGCAAAAAACATTATCATACAATAATAAGGATTTACAAACCGTTCGCTCGGATCACAATGGATTTTTCAAGTTTGAAAGTTTCGAGTGAAAATAAATAATGGGAAAACTTATCGATATGGATATGGGATATATTACAAGTGTATTTATGTACATATTATTCATGCACGGCTACCAATCTTGGAAATCCTACTTTCAGCTTCGTCGGGAGCCGAAGATCGAGTGTTTTTTTTTTTTTTTTTTTTGGTTTTGTTTTTGTTTCGTTTTTTTTTTTTCTTCGCTCGCTCATGGTTTTACTGTACAAAGTTGATGATGATTTTTTGTTAGCAGTGGATTAATATAAACATTAATAATCATAATCATGTACAAATACAAAGAGTTATATTATAATATATCAAAAAACAAAATCAAAGCGTCTCAATCGGTGACAACGAACAGTATCTCAAAAGTAAACTCAAAATCAAATCAATCGGTAGTAAATATGTATGTAAGTATGTATGTACCAACAAACAAACAAACACAATTAAATATCTGTACAAGAGAATATATGGAAGGAGACCATTATTTACAGCGTTGTGTGTTCTTGTCATTGTACGAGTACTACTCCCACGTACACGAGTACGTGCTCCCATATAACATACATGTGTATGTAGTTCTTCTTAATCGAGTTTAGTTCTGCTATCAATAATTCTGATTGCCTGACATTGCTCTATAAGTATTCTGCCTATAGGAGGATTTGATGCGGCGAGTACTAGTAGCAGCCCAATAAAATGTGGTTTATGCTCCTCTCTACACTCCCCAATAAGTCGGGCAAGGGCCAGGGGGCCGGGGCCACAGGCACGCAAAGGGACACAGGGGGCACGTGGGGGTGGCGGTGGCGGTGGCGGAACAATGGCAGAGCAGATAAGTGAGCAGAGCATAAAAATAATAAATAAGTATCAACAAAACCCCAGGAACCTAACCGTAACAAAACAAGGCATACAAATTAAGACGAATGGGGTTTATGGCACGACTTTTATATGCATATACATATATCTAGATACTTGCATAAATATATATATAATAGTATATCAACCAAATTGACAATGGAGCCTGGGTAGAGCGGAAAACAACCAAATAGATGGAACAGAATAGGACGGGACGGCATCGAATAGGCCCAGAAACAACGGAGCGACAACAAATTAATAGAACAAACGAGAGCGAGGAATGGGAACGAGACCGAGAACGGTAGCGGTAACGGCAACGACAACGACAACAACGAGAACGAGCAAAAAATGAATGAGCACACATAAAATATTGCATAAATAAATGAAATGAATTGAAATGAAAATGGCAATGTGAAAATATACATATACTCGCATATTTATGTAGGTACACCCAACACGGTCAACACAAAAACAACAATTGGTAACACCGAAGATAGGCCGTGCCAGTGCCAGTGCCAGTGCCAGTGCCAGTGCCAGGGAAAACACTCGAAATTGGCTGACACCCCGGGCGCCGCTGACGCCACTGTTCCTGGAATCGGAATCGGAATTGGAATGGAAATCGTATGCGAATATCCGACTCGAGGTCTGTTCTGTTCTGTTCTGTTTTGGTGTCCCTAGGTAAATACGTTT